GCAAGGATAAATTTCAGAATTACTTCATCAGGGGCTGGTGTACCTAATTTGCAGTCCGAACAATAGGAAATCTGTTTAAAATGCGTCATGACACCCGGTTTAAAGACCATCCGTGCCATACTGCGTAATACTCATTATCATATCTGTCTATGCTATCTGTACGTTGATTGGGCAGTTGTATTTTTGGATGACTACGCAAAGCCATGTAGGATGCAGGCGGGGCAAGTTCACGATTAATTGAGTCATCCACCCACGCTCCTATCATTTTCTTCGGAGATTTCACACTATCCTCCACAAAGTCATGTGCGCTGACTGTAAAATGTCTGAGTCGATGTTAATTGACAAGTTAATATCACAGTGTAAAATTATTGCAATTTCGACTATCACTACCAATCTGTCAGTGGTAACATAGTCACCCAGACCTGTTGATGAGTTATCTTAGAACTGACCATAAAAACAACGCACAGGCTTTCGCCACATTGGCACCACGTTTGTGTTTAGAAGGATTATTGAGGTCCAACAGCCTCGAAAAGCGTCAAAAAGTGCATCCGCATGAATAACAATTTCCCTTAAAGATGTTTCAAATGAGATGAAAATAGTGAATACGGAGAGTCATTCAGCAGGCTTCCCTAGACAGTAAGTCAGTGCTGACATCGTCGTAAACAATAGACAAGCTAATCCTGAAAGGAAGCGTTGGTGAGATTCTTGGCAGGACAATTGCAACATCAAACCTATCTTCCCACAAAAGTGAGGAATAAGGCTAACTGTTATTGAAGTGACCTAACCCGGCAAGACAACGAGCTTGTGGCTCAATGCTTAGGACGTTAGACTGTGATCGAAAAAGTCGCAAATTTGTGCCCCGGGTGGGGAACCACTTGGGTCTGGGTATGACTGAGTAGCGACGGTTGATAAGCCAGCAATGACCATTCCAGTCTTCCTTGTCTTTGCCGGCAATACTATCTGCCTATACTATCAACTACTGCGGATGTCAGGACCTTTGTCGAGGCCCAAGGCAGAGCGGGATAGATGAGTGCTGTAAGCGGTCGACGAAGGTTCATCAATGAGTTTTGTTTAAATTATGTGTTTGTGGATTAGTTTCTTTTAATCTACATTTCGCGCGTCAATTAGCGAAAACCATGCATGCCAGAAGGTGTAATTAAATAGAAAAGAAAGAGGTGTACCGATCACCGAAATTATAGTTTTATTTGTCTGCCTCAATTCGTAAGGTGTAATTATAACTCGGATTCCTTTTCACTGAAATCATAGCAGGAAAATTAAAGGGTATTGCCGGCCAAATTGCTACTATTCTAATATCGTAAGTATTTAAGAATTTGCCTTCCAGGAACGCAACCATTGCTGTTGGGTTGTGTTATATGTTTGAAACCTTAGGCGCGTGCTACTGCGCAGACCAGATTTTAAAAAAACGGGGGATTTAAGACAGCTTAAGGAGACATTTAGTTACGGTAAATCCACACTTCAAGAGAAATGCTATCCTAAAGAACAATGGGACAAAAGGCCACTGTCATAGTAGGATACTTGAAAACCGATAGAAAGCGTTTTCGGTCAAAGGTTAAGGGATCAGTATGCATGCAGTACTCTCTTATATTACAGATCCAACAGAACTATCGAATTTTTACTTAATCCTTTCTACTGTACAGTGCATTAAATGATCCCGCTTGTTTCGGTCGTTTCGTCGTTGCACCAAACTGTTTCTATGTTTGATGTCTTTGATCTGTAAAGGGCAGTTTCTCATCCCTTCGCACATCAAACCTATTGTAAAAGTAGACACATCTTCCCAGACACTGCTCACTTGTACGCCAACGTGTGCCCAGAAGTTTTAATTGCTTTTGGAAGTATGTGTAATAAACGAAAATAAAGCTTTCAGTTGCCCTTCTCTCGATTACCTAAATTAATTTTCTCCCTACTCAGACGGAGCTTGCATGGCCGAATACCTCCCGTTTAAGGAACTTTTTGAGCATCTGTCTAAATATGTGAAGGATGAAGAGCAGTGTTGGAAACACTGCATGCGCATCAAACGATGTGTTCGAAACCAGGAGGAGTGTGGTGGCTATGGAAAGGATCAGCGATACTTCGAAGGTGAGTAAACTTGCTCAGAACTTGATGTTACTTTACTTTTTAACTGTGTAACTTGTTGTGGCTACAAGGCATAATCTAACATAAGGCGCACGGCAAAACTTCACCCCTTTGTTTCGGTAGTTAAGGCTATTGCAAGTTCAGGTAGATAGTCTCAAAAGGTAACTTGGCTGCTAAACTAAAGAATCAGGCCAAACAAAGTGGATCATAAGCAAGCATTATCTGCGGCGCAGACATAGCGGTTTAATCGTCCTAAACAAGGACGTTCACTTATGTGTGAATAAATCTACATAAAGGTAGACCAACATTGCATCTACCGCAATTACTCCATCCCCACCCCTATCTGACTTCGATTGCAAGACAATGTCAAGGTAATCAGCAGCGGGTTCGAGCGCGGTGGTTGATACATCTAACCAGCCAGTCTGCGAGTCTCACACCTGACTTGGTTTCACTCCAGGTATACAAGTGAGGGTTTCGCATCTCCTATAAGTGAACACGCCATATAGGCGATATTTAGCAGGAGTCATTGAGGTTTCACACTCAGGTTTGAGAAGGGCCGCACCACCGAATCAACTGGGAGCCATCCAAGCAACCACCCTTTGTGTGTTATAGCAAGTATATCAAGGATATCGAGGAATTAAGGTTAATAAGGTTAAGCATTGTCACTGCGATCTTCCAGGCTCGGTCCCTTAGGGGGAGAATAAAGTATTGGGAAGGTCAGAGCGGAAGAAACAGAGTATTCTGTACAGAAGGATTGGAGAATAGTTCAGAGGTGGATGCCACTCGGGCTGGTATGGCGTTCGACC